TAACCTTATCCATCCATTAAAAGAAAGAGATAAGTACCTTAAATAGTCCATTTTATTTTTCAGATTTAAAACAAGCTACTTGTGATACTATCAAAGTAATTCATAATAATGTTGTTAAATTTGTAAGATTTTATCCCTTGATAGAAGAATTATCTTTCCAAAATCTTGATGTTGAGTATGAGCCTAGTATCAATCCAAATAATCATAGTTGAGAAGGTCCTAAAATCCCTTCATTTGAAATTCTTTAAGAACACAAGGATATAGAAGAATCAATTCTACAAGGATATGATTTATCAACTAACCTTAATAAATTGAAGACCAATATTATCTTTAATCGACTATTAGAAATTGCCTCAATGGTTAAAAAAACACTTTAAATCCAGATTTCAATTAAAAATCAAAAGAAGCCTAAGATGAGGATGGCAACAAAAATAGATGGCTATACTAAATAAGGTGATGTGAAGGCAAAAGAAATTGAGGTTTCTATTGTAGATAAAATTATTCCAAATACCATTGTAGATGGTGGAAGTGATTTAAACATGATGCATTTTCAAACCATAAAAAAATTGAGATTGAGTATTATTAGTTTTTTATCTAATATTATCAAGATGGCAAATTAAAGTCTATCTATATTATTTGAATAAATAAAAAAAAAAAAATCAAAACTTAAATTACTAAGAAAGAATATAACTTAACATATCATATCATTCAAATACATACATCAAAGGATTTTTTTTTCTTGTTGCTAGGTCAGCCATGGTTCAAAGATTCAGAAGCCTTAGCCAATTGGAAAAGAGAAAGATTTCACATCACCTTTGGCCTTTAGAAGAATATAATTAAGATTTTAATATGATCTATTATTGATAATAGAAAAATTAGTTCCATCAATTTTTTAAAAGATGAAGATTATTTCTAACACACAAAATATATTAATAACTATGGTTAATTTAATTGATCAAAAATCTAAGATGATAGAATATTTAGGCTCTAAGATTTATCATTGGAAGGATGATGGGAAATTTAAACAATAATTAGGTGATCATCTAAATTCTAATTTTATTATTATAAATTAGTTAATTTTTTAGAAGAGATGTTGAAAATTGTGAAAGTTCAAGAAATATAAGTCTTTTGCATTAATATAGATGGGATCTTAGAAGAAAAAATTGAAGTCCTTAAAAATAATGGTGATTTAATTCTACTTCTTTGATTTCAAAATACCTCATCAGAAATTAGGATTGACAATGGAATTGTCAATTATTACTTATATCCAGTAATTGGTATAAAAATTCTTTAGCATAATTCTAAATATGGGAATCTAAATAAAAACTCATAGATGTATCATTTGAAGAATAAAACTCCAAAAAAATTAAAATTGAAGCTCATTTAAATCAAAAGAAATTTTTTAAATATCAAAATTTGATCATGAAGTATTACAACATGTTAGCCTTATTATACAAAGGATTGAAGGATATACTACTTGAAGTGGCTCAATACCATATCTCTTTGATTCTTGATGCCAAGGAAATTAGACAAAAAAAAAGGCATATGAACCTCCAACTCCAATTAATTCTAAAAATAAAATTAAAAAATTTATTATAAGTTGGTTTTATTAAAGCAATAAAAAAAAAAAAAAAAAAAATCCTATGTTCTTTTTGAAAAACAAATTACAAATTAGGAATGTGAATAGATTATAGAAAATTCAAAAATCACACTTAAAAAGAACAATTTTACTCTTTCATTTATCAATAGTACTTTAGATGAAGTTGTGGCTCACAAGACCTACATATTTCTAGATGGTTATTTGGAGTATAATCAAATTTCTATAGCACCTAGACATTGCTATAAAATATCTTTTATCACTCTCTAGGATATATTTATTTTTTTAATTATATCTTTTCAAATTTTTGATACTCTTTTTATCTTCAAAAGAGCCATGGTCTTTCCTTTCTTGGATTTGCTACACAAATCTATGATATTATTTATAGATGATTTTAGTATCCAATTCAATACTAAAGACTATTTAAACCATATAGAAGAGACTTTAAAAAGATGTAAGAGAATGGGAATTGCTTTAAATTCCAACAAAATATATTTGGTAGTACAAAAAGGAGTTTTTTTGGATTATGTGGTGTCCAAAGAGAGAAGAAAATCTGACCCAAAAAAATAGAAGTTATAGCCAAAATGCAACCACTTATATATGTCAAGAGAGTAGAAAAGATATTTGGACACTTTAGATGGTATTGAGAAATAATTCTTGATTATGCCACAAAAACCTTACCTATTATCAACTTTAAAAGAAAGTTTCTTAAATTTTAGTAGACAAAAGAGTATCAAGAAGCCTTTAATTAGATAAAGGCAATATTAAGTTCCTACCATGTGTTAAATTCATTCAATTGAGATCTTTTTTTTATATCTATTGTGATGCTTCATCTATAGTAGTGGATAGTGCATTATGTCAATTAATGGAAAGTGAATATAAAGATTATTCTATAGCTTTAACCAATAAAAAATTAAATATAATAGAACAAATTATAGTACTACAAAAAAAAAAAAAAAAAAAAAAAAAAAAAAAAAAATGCTCAGCAATAGTCTTTTCTATGAAGAATTTTGACATTACCTTCTCTTGAATCCCATTGTATTTTTTTGTTGATCATATGGCCATCAAATATTTAGTCGATAAGGCAAATTTAAGTTATTGTATAGTATAATGAGTATTATTATTTAAAAAAAATAATTACAAGATAAAATACAAATCCAAAAAATTACATAACTAAATCAATTATCTTTCAAGGTTAGAGGGAGAATTAAGTCCCAATGCCAATGATGACAAATTAATAGGCAAATCTTTTTTTATCATCTCCATCTATCCTACTTGGTACAACCATATTGCAGAATTATTAAATTGTCAAGAATTACTTGAAAGATTGTATAAACATGAATAACAAAAGATTAAAATTAATAGCACTTATTTTGCTATTATCAAAAAATAATTGTATTATTAAAGAATAGATTAGTTGCATGTCACGAAAATGCATGTGGGAAATACTTTTTGAATAGATTAATAACTTAAAAAGCTATGATAGTAAGGTATTATTGACCTACTATGTTTCAAGATGCTCATGATTATGCTAAAAGATGCAATGCTTACCAACATTATGTAAAAAATGATTTATGTATAGCATTCTTCTTCCACATATTATTGCCTCTTATTTCCTTTAAAAAATGAAAAATTGGTTACATAGAAGAAGTCTATCCCAACTCTTTAAGAAAGCTGAAGCATATTGTAGTTGCCATGGAATACTTGACAAAATAGAATGAATGAAGAACTATCAAAACCAATGATGTAATTCATGCTACAACTTTTATGTATGAGAAAATAATCATTAGATCTAGATGCCCTAAAATTATAATTAGTAATCAAAGTATACACTTCCAAAATAATATGATTGAAGAAATCATCAATAAATTTAATATAAACCATCATATGACTATCTCTTACCACTCACAAACTAATGGTCATGTAAAAAGAGTGAATCAAATTTTTGTTAATATTCTAAAGAAAATTATACAAGATTCTTAAAAAGATTGGAATACAAAAGTGTTAGCCACTCTATACGCTTATCATATGACCTATAAGATCACAACCGTGGCCACACTAATTTCTTTAATATATAGAATAAAAATAATTTTATCAATAAAGATTGAAGTCTATTTTCTAAAAATAATAATAGATGATAAACTAAATATCCAAGAATCCTTAAGAGACAGATTAAAACAATTGAAAGACCTTGATGAAATTCAAAGGAATAGAATTCAACATATAGAAGCAATTCAAAGAAGGAAGAAAATTTCTTCTGATAGAAAGTACAAAAAAATAATCTTACAATCTAAAATGCTAGTATTGTTGCAAGATGCCTAGAGAATGGATTTTCCTAGCAAATTTGATGCTCTATGGTTAGGTCCTTATTTTACTCAAAAAATCTTTGACAACAATTTTTGGCAATTGAAGTCTTTTAATGGTGAAGCTTTCCTAATTAAACCATCAAAGGATAGTTGTAAAGTGTATAGTGTAAAAAATCCATAGTGAAAATCCTTTACATTCTTAATATTCAATTTGAGTTGGGATTCAAATGTATAACCTAGCTAAACTTGATTTTTATCAAAATAAAATGGATCTTAGATTCATGAAAGAAATAAGAATAATTTGATGAATGGTTATTGGTTCCCCTTCAATATTGCCTCCCCTTTTCACCAAAGAATAGAAAGAATACTATGTGAAGAAAAAATACATGTAAAAAATTTATATATATATATATATATATATATAGATATAATTTAGAGATATTTGGAGTAGTTAAGCATCTTCAAGTTGTGGATAGTTGGTCACAAGAATGGTTTTATTTGAAGTGATTTGAGTTCAAATCCAATTCACATAATAAGCTATCTCTATGAACTAGTGTTAGAGTAAAAAAGTGATCAACTTGTGCATCTAAGAAGATATATAGGCATTTATGGTTTATAATCTAATTCCTTCTTCTTGAAGGAGGATTTCATGATACTAACTATGAACTAAAATAATCTCCCACTAATTGATAGATTATCCTAATTCGCAACAATTAAGTTATTTAAGAATTTTATTATTTTATAATTATTGTCTAAATATTATTCAATAAATTCTTGACTCTCTAATTATGAATTAAAATAAATCTCTCTAATTGATGATTTATTTTAATCTACAACAATTAATTATCTTTTGATTCTATTATATAGAAATACTATTCTAATTCCCTACTAAAAGACCTCTTAAGTTCTCTACATTAGTTCCATTAATCATTCACACCTCTATCAACAACCATACATATAATACAAATCAATTCAAAAACCACACATATTAGAAGGGATTTTGTATTATTTTATTTTATTATTTATTATTTATTTATCTAATAATAAATATCATCCAAGACTAAATTATCATTCATGAATAAATTTTCATCCACAAATAAATTTCCATTTGAAAATGATTTTTCATCTCCAAATGAGAATTCATCTAACTCTAAAAATCATCCAAAATCCTAACTTCATCCAACTCTAACCTACATCATCGTATTGCACTTCTCATCCACCTAAATCATCCACCTAAATCATCCACCTGAAATTCTTACGAAATAGGGCGTTGATGCCTTCCGCTAATGGCTGCCGCACACGCTCAGTAGCATGGATCCTCATGAGCCTTCGAACAAGAATGACACCAACTTGCACACCACCAATCGCCAGCAACTACCCCGAGGCTTCTCCATTTCTCAATGCAAACTAACAGTCAATTCAAAAATGCACTGGAACAATTTGGGAGAATTCGTAGCTCCTCCAACATGATTTTACTAAATTACTAAGTACACCTAAATTCTTCCAGATTTCTACTATTCAAGAGTTGCTCTACTCACTAGCCCCAATAGTGTGTAGTAAACACGTGAAGACTGATCTAATTGATCACATGCAGCCTAAAGCATCCACTAAAAATCCACCGAGGACCAGTGCTGACCACTCCAACACACTGTTAAGCACAGACCCTCCACCCTGCTTGATTGTCGATCGCTCAACAGGGACCAGTAGCCGGCTCAATCTGAAATAAGAGGGACTTCTCCGCCAACCTTGTACTCTACGTCTCAGCAAATAGATTTCTAGATCAACATATGAAAATTTATTTATTGATGGCTATTCTCAGTAACAGAATACTATCGTCAAAGACTAACAACTACCCATGCTCTTCTACTGCATGCCCAATTCCACAATGAGATTTGCAACAGTGGCGTGGGTTTAAGTCCTCATCAACATCGTTATTTGTTAAGTGGTGCAGTTGCAGTCACATTCCACTATTTGCATAATCGATTGGACTTTGGAAGGTAGCTCTATGCCGCAATACAGGGTCCAGTACCTCCAATATGCTGCTACACCCAGCCGCAATATTCTAACCAACTTGTTAACAAGGACGCAATGAAGGTAGTAGCAAAGGCATAGAGCGGCACATCAACAGACCATCGCAAGCCGAAAGTAAATCCAACAGGAACAAATCAGGTAGAAGACTACCGTGGCCTCCCTCGCAACCTACTTCATCAATCGTTGAAGGGGAACACTGAATTCCCTCGACGAGAAAGCTTTTACACCATATCGTCCAATTATGAAGAGGTTGACAAAGAGAAAAGTTCGCCAAGAACAAAACCACGAGCAGAAGGAGCGACCAAATAGCAGTACAGTTAAATCCTTGGTGCTCTCTCGAACAACTCGAAGATGCAACTCAAAAAACTATACAATGCCGCCGTTCCACTTGCTGGAACCGTAAGCCTCACAAAAATGGAAATGAAGAGGGACTAGAGAATCAACAAAATTTACCGCCGCAGGCAATGAACAATTTCCGACAGGGATAGTAATATGAGAAAAACAGAACCTAAACACCGTCGGCAGTCGGCACCAACAACCTCTTCGCCAACCGTCCGTTGCCAACTGCAATCGCGCCCACGGCGAGGAAGAGAAAACTGCACTGCTTATGTCGCATATCCAGAGAAGGAAAGACCCCAAAACCATGTCGTCGCTCCAGACCGCAACACTGAGGAATCGCGGCTGCACTGCAACATAGTGGACTGCCCCTACACCCTAGACAAGGAAAAAACGGGCTGCGCCGTCCATAACATTCGGAGCTCTACTCCTATATAAGAAAAGAAAAGAAAAAAAAAAAAAAAAAAAAAAAAACTGAATGGGGTCCAGACCTGGACCCCTATTGGCCAAAGGCGGATGTCAGCAATACCCGACTGGCGATACCCCCGTATTAATCGCGTAGATACTATATCCAGACCGTATCTAATACCATATTCGGGCCATATAATATTAAAATTTTGAATGTTCTAGATTATTTCTAGATGCTTCCAAAATACTACAAAGATGTTAAATTGATGCCTCCAAGATGCCTTCTATATTGAGGATTTCTACTAGATTTTCTACACTAAACTATATTTTCTCAACTAACACTATTTTGCCTTCTTTTAACTCCTCTAGATTAATCTTTATATAACAATTGCAGTGTTGGCATTCTAAATGCATTCTTTTGTTCTAAAACAACTAATGAGTCAATTTCATGACTCACACTAACTTTTAGATATTTTACTTTTTAATATTTTATTTTTCTTCTCTTCTCTATTTTTCTACCTCTCTATTTTATTTTTTTTTTCCTTTCTTTTCCTATAGAATTATCTTATCTTTTTTTAATAAAGAAGACTATTTTCTTTAATAGTTTCTTTTATTTCAAAAGTATTAAAATTAGCAAGATAGAAGTGAAATTAATATTAACCATAGTCCTGTAGATGAACATTTATTTTGGTTGTTTAATACTACTCTTTTTAGTCTTGATAGAATGTTAAAAACCAATAGTGACTAACTTTAGATAAGGACTTGTTAAGAAGCAAGAGCTTTTTTTGAATTACTTCAAATGGTTTCTATATGTGAGTCATAGAATGGACTCATTTCTGTATTTAATACAAAAAATGTACTTATTGTCTTTAAAATCACAAAGTTAGAAAGTTGGTATAGGAATTCTTAGATAAATAGAGAAAATAGAAATACTAGTGAGGAAATACAATCTATGATAGAACATCTTATTTGTTGGCTCAAAAAAACCATATGTGGGCTTTGCCAAGCACTCTACATTTAGTACAAAAAAATTAGACATATAGCTCAAAAGCCAAGGATTTAGGAAGGACAATGTGAATTACAATCTTTATATAATTTATAGTAATAATTGTAAATTTTAAATTATTATATTCTATTATTTGCCAAAAATTGCAACAAATAGATTTATTGATTTAAGTCACATATAGAGACTATGTTTGAGATATCTTTACTTAGTAAAAAAAAACCTAACAACTTATTTCAATGCAAAGTTCATTCTTGTTAATTATCACATATTCATGATACAAAAATAATATATTAAAAAAACATTAGAGTTCTTTGGGATTAGCAACTATCAACCAACATCTACACCAATGATAGAGGATCCAAAACTTCAAACAAATATGAAAGAAGAATATGTTGACCCTATAAATTATCAAAGTATAGTAGGAAAGCTTATATAATTCTTACATAGTCAATACAACATCAACTATGCCATTGGAATTCGTAGCCATTTTATGAAAAAATCCTAAAAAATTCATTCAAAGGTTGCAAAGAAAATACTAAGGTATCTTAGCAGCAAAAAGGACTAATGCATCTTATTTGAAAAAGAAGAACCCATCATGTTGATGGATCATATAGATTCAAACTATACCAGCAATATAAAAAATAGAAAGTTAACAACTAGATTTGATTTTTTAACTAAGAAGAAGCTCAATCACCTAGCATTCAAAATTGGAGTCAATTGTAGTCCTATCTAGTATGAAAGTTAAGTACAAATTATTATATGATTTGACAAAAGAGTTTGTGTTGTTAAACACACTTCTATCCAAACTTAGAATCAATGAGAATTCTTCAATAATGATATTTGTGGTAATAAGAGTTCCATTAAGCTTGAGTACAATCCGATATTCTATTCTTATACATAATACATTACCACATGCTACCACTATGCCAAAGAGAAGGTTGAAAGTGGATAAATTTAGATACTATTTAAACCTTTAAGAAAATGATTAGCAAAATTATTTACCAAGTCTTAGATAAAATTCTCTTTGAAAAGTTTAGCAACTAGCTACAACTTGTTAGCATAGAAATATGTAAAGCTACTTAGTTTTAATCTACTCAAAAGCATACATCTAATAGTCTTAATAGTCATAGCAATAGCCATAGCAATAGCCATAGCAATAGTCATCATTCCAACATCTACAAAGATAACAAGTATCACTACCATACTAATCCAACTCTTCTAAATAAGATCCTATTTCATAGGACCAGTTACAAGTCTCATCTATCCAAGCTTGCCAACTCTTACAAGCAAGGCAAACCAAAATTATCTTTCAACTCTAAGTTAGGTACAACTCAGATTTACAAATTACCCAATCTCAAATGTGATTAAAAATCACATTCTCCAGAAGACCATCCAAGAACAATGTTATTTTTTTAGACTCCACAAAGATGGAAAGCTTTTTATCTTTGGTGTCTAATAGTTCTTCTTTCAACTTCTCATCTCTAAGTTTTGAGATAGTGCAAGGGTTTACATACTTACTAGCATCACTTTTATTATTTGAAGAACAACTAAGTTATCTCCATTATAGTTCTTTTTAGACCAAGTCAAATTGAACTTGAAAACTAATAGTGAGCATTATATCCATCAAGAAAATAATTTATAATTGACCTCTATTCACGAAAAGAATCTTTTTATGAACAACCTTTAGTAAGCAAAGAATCAATTCTACTTATTATCTTTTATGTTTTTTTTATTATATATATTTTTTATTTATTTATTTATTTATTTATTTATCTATTTATTTATTTATTTATTTATTTATCTTAAATTAATTCTAGAAGTAGTTAAGAATTAAAAGAGAAAGTTGGCATTATCAACTCTTATCTTATTATAGATCAAATGTAGTAAGTTAATCTAACTATTTGTATTATGATAGAACATGGATAATTTTATAATAGATACTTATTACTTATATATGTCAATTGTTTCTATAGCCACTTTACTTAAGTAACTTTGTATCTTTTATTCTTCATGCAAGTAAAGTGTACTATCACTTATTTTATTACAAATTAAATTGACTTGGACTTACATAATTAACCTTAGCAATGTCTTACAAAGGATGATCAAAGTTTAGATTCTATTAGGTGAGACATGATGATATAAAGTAAATAGAAGAACTTTCTCTATTTCACAAAATTGTAGCAACAACCACTATTCACTCTTTGATTAATATAACTATTGCATATATACCTTTGATACATATTGCTTTGAATTTGTTGCACTCTACGATTTCTATTCACCAAACCTTCTATTATACAACTATATTTGTTTATTTTAAAAAATCTACAAACATTGTCCATAATTACATTATATCACATAAAATCCTATTTATTAATCTTTATATTTATTGGATTTCCATATATTATTTAAGATGGTATAGTAAAAATATCTATAAAAAATATGAATATTAAAAAAAATTAATTTTTATCTAGACATAAATATATATATATATATATATATATATATATATGATACTAATTTAATTTTTAATATATATATATATATATATATATGAATTAATTTAATTTTTAATATATATATATATATATGAATTAATTTAATTTTTAATATATATATATATATATATATATATATATATATATGAATTAATTACATGTATTTTCTAATTAAACATAATAAGAAGTTAAAATGTCATACTTTGAATTTTTTATCTTATTTTTTATGCAATTCTAAGTTAATAAACTAATAATTTAAAATATGTATTAAAGAGTTTTTTTAAAAAAATTAAAGAATGATTTTTATTAGTATCTAGAAATTTAATTTTTCATTAAAGTGTGACTAGTATCAATATTTTAAATTATTATATTACTAGAATTAATATTAGAAGAACTTCTATCCATAAAAAAAATACTAAATCAAATTAAATATCTTAGTTCTTTAATAAGACTAAGTCTAAGAGGTTCTTTAAAATTTCTAATATTGTTAATTAAATTGGCAATTCTTTTTTCTTTTAAAATAGTTAGTAGGTACATTTTTATGTTTTTTACTTTTATCTTTTATGCACGCATTTTTTTTATTTACATATGATTATTATTTATTAAAATTTACTTAATTATAAATTTTTATAACTAAAATACCGTTATATTTTTTTATGAATATAAATTGTAAAAATAATAATTAATAATCAAAGATAAATATTTTTTTATTAAAAATAAAATAAAATAAATAAACAAAGAGCGTAGTAGTTAGATCTACATATAATTACTCACAACTTTAAATAAAAATCTTATTATCAGTATTGGCAATGCATGACATGCTTAAATTAAAAAGAAAAAATGACTTACAAATATTTCATGGTACAAAAAATATATATATATATATAAATATATATATACCACAATAAGATTTCTATATGTAATTTTATACTTGTAATATATTTTATGAATATTATGGTAAATTAAAATAAGACAAATTTACATGTAAAAAAAATTTAAAATTTTTTATAATACAAGAATATATTTAGATATACTTATCTAAATATCAGTTTGTTAAACTAAAAACCACATTTCTCAAAGAAAGATTCAATATTAAAGTAAAAATAATCTTTATTTAAAACCATATAAAATATTTTTAAAATTAATTTATTTATTATTTTGCATTGATGAATTTTAGAAGATAATACTTTAAATCTAGTCAAGATTATCTACAATAACAAATTCTACTAAACATGAAATTAATATTTTTTCATAGACCATGTGGTCTTAATATATTTTTTAAAATAAAAATAAGTTTAAAAAACTAGTACATAAATTTCCTTTTATACATGTTTCAATTCCATTTTACCTTTTCATTATATGCACGTTTTTCTTGAATTATTTTATTAAATAAATTGAATGATTTTATTCCAGTGGTCATAAAAAAGAACTAAAATTAATAAAAATTTGCAAGAGATGCAACTAAATAGTTATTCAAAAAAGTTTATATATATTGTCACTACTCTATCTTAGAAAGCAAATAATAAAAACCACAGAAGATAAAAAAGCATTAGCTCTTGCTAATGTGAATCTTACATGCAAATGTGAGCTTTAAAACTTTCTAAAATCGAAATAAAATCTTAATTTTGAGAAACCACCTACCAAAGATTGCACATCAAGTCAAACTTAGGATTATAATAGATGTGTATGCATATATTCAAATTAAATTAGAATTATCTATATAGTATCTATATATATATAGATAATAAACTATACTACCAACAATACCATCTTGATCTAATACTCATGGAATGATCAGAGTTACTACCCACACATCACAAGCATTGATCTGACATTCACATCACAGCTCAAATTGGTGAATGCAAGTACAATCACCATATGCTACAAACACTTCTTTTGCTTTACGATTCTTTGTATTTGCAGTTGGAACCACTGGGTGGAATTCATTGCCTCCTCAAAAGAATCACATAAATAAATCTATCAGTCAATCAATACAAAAGTAACCTAGCGAAACTCAAAACCCTCCATCCCATGCGATCTTACCTAGGTTGCAACCAAGAGCACCAACACTAGGGAACCACAAAATGTAAAGCCAAGGACACCAACTGCTCAAGAACTCATGCGGACGCAATCTTTACCGACACATGCACATTAGCAAAGCTGTTGTTAATCCGAATCGTGCTGGTACGGCTGTAGGAACACTTCCACTCACGCTTTAATCCATTCCAACCACCACTTCCGCAGCACAGCTCTCTCCGACCCAAACCATTCTTACATATCACTGGCAAGCATCGTAGTTATGTTACGGCGTGTAAGCATGTGCAGATTGGAGCACATCAAAGCGAGAAAACGTCGAGGTCCGGGAGGTTGCGGCAAGGGTGGGGGATTGCGAAGCGGGGCAACGCTCTATGTGTGAGCTTGAAACCCCTTCATGGCATAGATGAAATGAACACTAATTGCTTGCCCTCATCCCTACAAGGAAAGAAACATCGACAGCGGCATCTGCTGCACTCCTGCGCGATTACTCGGAAAACAAGCGGCAGGACAACGAGGCGGCGAAGAGATCGCCTTTTCATGTTTACAGCATTCCATAACCAAACAACCAATTCCTAGTTATTTAGTAGCTGTGTCTTGAAACGTTTAAGATCTGGGCTGAAAGTACATTGCAGACTATCTAACAACGCTAGAAAAATCTTATAAAGAAAAAATCGACGCAGATTCTCACAGTTATCGGATTGGAGCGTGACTTCACACTCCATACAGTGTGGGCTTAATCATGTACCCATATTCCACGACTCTTGATTGGTTGACAAACTTATCCTGAACTCTACTCCAAGCAACTTTCATGGCTGCTCATGCCCAGCTGCAGACGATATGATTAGCTCAGAACAAGACCAGGTTGGAAAAGTCCCAAGACTCTGAGGGATCAATCTACAGAGCAACATTTAGTGAGAAAGACACACCCAGCACAGGCAGACTTTCCCGAATCTGCCACTGAGGTTTGATATCGCTGCTGAGGGACCACTTTGGAAGAGCAAATGAGTAAATAGAGTATCCATCTCCTCAAAATCAACTTATATATCAGACAAAGAAGCCACAGCAGCTATAATAAATTCATTTCATCCTGCTAAGGGTTGCTAATCTGTTCCAAGATGAGCGATGGCCTTCCCATGCACTGAAATCACTTAGAATCTGTTAAAGCAGAAGCAATCCACGACGAAGACTCGATACAACCAAATGCGACCAATGACAAACCTACTTCTACTTCTACTTTGTTCCACAATTTGGCAATATTGATCTGCCAACATGCATAATCCCTACGAAACCAGGAGACTGGTGTACCTGTGTGTGGCAGTCAGTAGCGGACTTTCAGTCCTTCTCCCGAAATGCCATATCTCCAAGCTTTCCTGAACTCAGCATGTCTTGCATTTGCTAGGTCCAAACCTGGAACCATCACTGCACTTGCAACAAGTCATTGGTTCATTTCTCCGAAACAAATATCTCCCTCTACATCAGAACTGCAATCCAGGGACATCGAACTCCGATCATTCCACAACAAACCGAGGAAGCCAAAGTAGACATAACGTCCCTGAGCCCAAATCATCAATAAAGCGTTAACACTAAACAGAAGATCGAAGCGTACCTCGTTCTCGGTACCTTCGTCTTCCCTACAACATGTTATGGCCAGAATCTCATTCACCACTGTCAGGACATTGAGAGGGCAGGCTTCTCCCAGGGGTGCCCACGGAATATTCGGTGGAGGCATATTTGTCTCTCGAGGAATTCCCAACAATGTGCCCCAGGGATTTATAGCTGCATTCACGATTTTAAACATCCCCTTGAACTCACAACAAATCACACCACAGAACATCGTTATACTACTTGCCACGTCCCGTCACAAGGAGCCAATATCCATTGCTTCACTGACCGCCTACACCTTCTCAATGCATTTCCTTTCAGAGAGTCCAGAACACCACATCCACAGTAATAAGCATGCAACAATCAGCATGCATGTTGAAAAAGTGATCACCGTCATCGTATCTATTCACAAAGCTGACCTACAGCGAGCATACTACAATCTTCACAACCTGGTACATGCAGTGTGCGGATACAACGAAAATTCCTCGGGATACGAGTCAACCACACCGAAGCGTGAACGAGACAATTGCAGAGACGTATTGCAATCAGAGCCCCAAATGGGTTACCACTGCTCAAAATGCATCAAAATTCTGGGACGCGTACTTTCCAAAGCAGCAAATGTGCAAAGTGGACTGAGTCTTGGACCATCTGTAGCAACATTTGGCTTTTGCAAGTGCATGTCCCAATTAAATAAGGATACCCCATTCCGCAAGCCGGATAAAGAAAAAATAAGAATAGAAAAAAAAATGCCCCTATTCATTGTGTCTACATCAGGGCCATGCCTGCGTGCTATTGATTAAGAGATACTAATCGTCCAACTACTTCTGAACTCCGCTGAAGAGGGGTAAGAGCGGTCACGAGCATCTTTGCGTTGGGGCGTTCACGCGGTTCTAACTGCAAGCATCTCGATGCCAGACGAACAAGCTCCACGCCATCCTCATTCGCAAATTGACCCTCCAAGTAGGAGTCCATTAGCAAAAGCATGTTTTTGCCACGTATCAAATCCAAGGCCTGCAGTCCAGGCAACCTGTCAGACAAGCATCTTCAAGCTCCACAACTTTCGAGTCAGTGCTTTGATGTAACATGGCAGATATTTCAGTAGACACAGCCTCGCGGTTGTTGAACCACATACTGCACTAAAAACACAATGTGGACAAGAAGCACTCACATGGCTCGGAGGAATATGTTTTCCACTCAGTAAATCGAGCAAGACAGTTCCGTAGCTGAAAATTACACTTTCTGGAGTCACCCTTCCTGTGTTCATAATCGAAGTGAGCAAGCGAAAAATCTTCTATCGAGAGCGACCTACACTTGTTACTACTTTGATTTAAATGCACCACGTAAACTTGACCCAAGCCTATAGTGCGCTCAAGATATCTGATTATTGGAAGACATATGGACAATGAACAACGCAAGTTTCACTGATCGCGCTATTCTGACACATTAGATGAAAGCAGGGCCACACAACCGCCATTCCAGGGAATTGACAAGCACCACAACCAAAAAGCTCACCTGTGCGTAAGTACTCAGGAGGTGTGTACGCAAGATTGGTGCTGTAACTTTTGCCGTCTCTGCTGTTCTTCATCAAACCGAAGCACGAGAGACGAGGGTCTCCATCCTGAAAATATTACGTTGAATGAATTTAGCGAATTCGCAGGTAATCTATATGATCAAATAAACCAGAGCAGGATTATAGGAAGTAAAAATGACCATTTCCGGCTGCTGTGGATCGGAGAGAACCCCATTGAGTTCAGGAGATATCTACTGCCAGCAAAAATTGTGTTGACCAGATTCTAAAGGAAGCTAAACAGTTACAGAAAGGACACTTAAAGCATATACACAGAGGGGCAAAATACCTGATCAAACATCACCCGGTAAGCATTCAGATCATGATAAAGGCGAAGGTTGTTGTTCGAACAGTGATCAAGGGCCTGGGCAACGTAGAGAGCAGCACGTACCCGCATGCCCCACTGCATTGGTTGCTTCTCCCCTGCAGTACATGCCAAATTTCAGGGTTCGTGATAGATAACCATAAGTTTCTCAGAATAAATTCAATACCATTTCGAATTCTCTCATGTGAGAACCAACATATCAATGCTACTTGATCTCTAAGTAGATCTTTCTGCTCAAAAGTGCATAAATTTAACTACAGAGGACACTTTATTTAGATTGTAATGAAAACAAGGTTGAAATCACGTATCCGCTAAACAATCTTTTCGTCACTCTTCTCACTATGCTGACTTCGCAGTCAAATAGGAGATTGAGCCTACTTACAATGAAAGAGATGTTTCGCAAGTGTGTCATGGGGCATGAACTCAGCAACTAAGAGCCTCTCATCGCCTTCAGCACAGTACCCAATTAAATTCACAAGTCTCTCATGCCTTACTTGACCCACCTTCCAAGCCTCGTCCTGCAGCCAACAAGTACGAACATCATGGAAAGGAACTGTAACATCAAAATTTAGTGAGTACCAGTTCAACTGTTATAATAAAAAGAAAACGAGTCAACGTAAGGATTACGCCATTGTTATGCACCCACAATAAAAATAAAAATAAATAGAAAAAAATAGAAAAATAAAAATGCTAAAATTACAAAAATAAATCGAAGAAAAAGGTTTACGAATACAAAAACCAGAACAAGAAGGGTACATACTCTAGCAGTATTTAGATTCCTGATATAAACTACAAGCCGAGAATACTTGATGTCCATAACAAAGCTACGAATATATCGGACATCAGTCTTTAACAACAGCAGCCCAGAATAAGAAGCCCAGAAAGTATAAAAAATCTCACGTTCACTTCAAAAACAGGTGTGAAGCAAGTCAGTCAGTATCAAAACTTGATCCGACAGAACAGGCAATGGAACAAGAATAGTGGAAAAGAGCATGTTACCGAGAAACCCTTCGCATCAGGCCACGCCGTCTTGGGAAAGCGCTTGATAGCAATAATTCGATTCTGGTCAAGCTTGCCTCTGTAAACAAAGTTTGGTGCTTTCTCCCCGCTCTCAGAGACGATGAGCTCTGCGCTAAACCCTCTGGTGGCTGCTTTTAACGTCTCCAACGAGTACTCTTTGAATGCTGGCACAACCTCTGGTTCAACTCGTTTCCCATTATCTACAGAAGTCCAAAAAATCAATCTAATGATCAGCCCTGTGGGCCAGATTCTGACGATCCGAGGCTAAGTGTGGTTGATAAGATAAGAAACGGTTAGCTGGGTCAGGAAACACCAACGAAAGGCTTAATGGCGTTCAGACAGCGACCGCGGTTATTCTCTACGTGTTACGCCTTCCGTTGCAAACTATGGTACATGGTTGTAGCAGAGATACCGCCAATTTCTAAGAAACAAATGTTGGAAAGAGAGGTACAAAATTTTAAAAATAACCAGCATGTCTGAATCGTTAAGTCAAGAACAGCACCATAATATCAGGATAAGTCACCTTAAGATACTTCTTACGTACATATAATTTCTTGAGAATGTCCAAGACAATTCTCAAGAGAGCCTAGACTAACGTAGTGAAGCGATCATCGATCAGACGAATAGAGGAGTTCCATGGTAATTGAAATGCAACAACGTATACTCGACAACCCACAAACGACAACCTGCCATCTTCGAAAAGTCAGCAGATAGACTTGAGACAAAAAAGCAACACAGGCTGCTTACAGTCCTCCCATGTGCAGGACCATGCCTTGCACGGAACGAAACTTCAAGATTCAACCCTGTGAAAATAATCGAAACAACTCAAAACCTTTTGCCCTTCCTGACAAACTTATGATCCAGACAATCCAACAAACTGAAAACAGGTGAGAAACGAACAAAAAAGACGATCACTGTCCACCCAACCCCTAATCTTTCTCGAGCTCAGTGCGTGTCAATTGAGTAAGGAGGACAAGAGATGAAAACCGCGGAAGATAATGTCCAACAATCGAGGCCAGCTTTCGTATTGAACTCTTGGGACACGTTCCTCTCATTTGAAAATGAAAGATGGGAACAAAATATAATCGTGTCTCCAATGCAGAAGCAAGAAAATAATCTAATCCTTTCATTGACCTGAAAGCAACAGATATCCACATCTCTCACAGAAAGAATTCGATGGACGTACCGAACAGTGGACAGCCGAGGAACAAAACCTATGCGTAATCTCATAGACAGTCTCATGCTAATATAGCCCCTCCGAGTTCAAAATTAATGCACAAGTCATGAGAGGAAACAAACCTAAGTCCACTTTGTGAGGAACCAAAGCTTCCTGGATGGCTCGGTGCGCGTCCCTGGGCTTTGAACTGAAGCAGCCCATCCCTCTACACCTCTAAAGCCCAAACCCACGCCAGCTGTTATTGCGCAGTCCTCAATCTGCCATTGCCAACACCAATCCAGCTCCACGGCCGCCTCCTGAGCACTACCCGGACTCTTCACATCAGCAACTGAATCCCTCGCCCAATTCAATCCCACCAATGACCTCCTAACTATCAGACTTTCGCAGAACGCTATGGCTCAATGGTCGAATTCAACAGAATCTAGTGCTGGATGCATTCTTGATCATCCACACACAACCACAACACACTATCAAAATCCACGACGATTTTCCACGCTCAGTCAGCCTCCCACACGGACATCAACAAACGCAGGCGCGCACACACACAAACAAACACACTCTCACACACACACCCAAACTTCCAGGATCCCACTACGCACCTCTCACGGACCGAGGCTACTCATGGCGTCCACGGATTCCGTCTATCTCGCTCCTCTCCCACGCACAGCAAAGGCATAGAAACTACTCTCTCACTCGAAGTAAAAAAAAGATGAGCAATACCCTCACACCTGATCAATCGATCGCGAAGCTTCACAGGACTCGTCGGTTGTGGTCTTGCTCCACAACCAGCATCAAGCGAGCGACCAAACGATTATACAGAAACAAGAGTGCGGCACAGCAGCGGAACCCATTCCTTAATGTATGCGTCACTGTGGTAAGCAAAGGTCTGTTCTCCTCTCCTGTCTCCTCTCCTCTCCTCTCCTCTCCACCTGCGTCTGTCTGTCTGGGTGGGTGAGGCTGTGAGTCTAACTCAGTCCAAGGCCGCGCGCGCGCTCTCTTGGTCACTCTCTATCGCGCGGGAGTGCCACGAAGGAAAGGGGCATACAAACGGACTAATCTGCGATGATCTGCCCCTCAGCCCGGACCCCGTCCCCGCCCCCCCCGCTCAGGCCAGCCCAGCCCAGCCCAGCCCTGGACTGCGTGGAAGAAAACGACTTGTACGCCCGAAATGGGTCATGAATGATCCACCTCAGGAAAACGGGAGCGGGTCGGGGCTGTCAGCGCCCCCGCCTCAAATACAAACCCGGTCCCATCACGAGCTCTCTCGCTCCCTCGCTCTCAACCCGCCCCGTCACACCCCGCTCTCCTCCCCTTCCGTATCGTATCGTATCAACTTCTCCCGTATTAGTATATACATTTAGTACGTACTCGTCGTACACGGTCCATGACAGCTTTTCCTTCTTCCCTACAGTAGTCAGTCAGTCTCTGAGACAGTAGTGTTGTGTGTGTGTGTGTGTCGGTAACTCCCCCTCCCCTCCCTCTCCTCTCCTCTCCTCTTGGCTTCTCCAACTCTCCGTTAGCTCTGAGTTGTATTGCACCACCTGCCCGTTTCGACTTCTGCCCGCCCCTGCCCGGCCATTTGGGCATGGGTTGGGGCAGGGTGGAGATGGCTTTAATGGGCTGCTGAACCAGGTTGTGGGGATCCTTCCTTCCGCAAGGATGAATTTCTATGGCCCATTGCCCCATTGCCCACTTTTGTTGCAGTTGTATGAGAAAGAGAGAGAGAGAGAGAGAGAGAGAGATGTGAGTTTTCAGGTGGTTTCATAGAGGTACATGCAGTGGAAAGAAGTTTCTAGCTTGTTTGAGAACAAGTAAGGAAATTTATTTTGTCGTGCACAATCTCTGTTTTACTTGTTGTTATGTCTGAACAATTTAAGACTTAGAAAAAGGATGTGATTGTTGAATTTCATGGTTATGGAGGCTCAGACTCAGACAGAATGAATTATCCTTTGTAAGGACATGCAACTGTATTGAATAATTGATAAACCTGCAGTTACTCTTTTTTTCACTAAAATCAGGTTGCATGCAAAGTCTCAATGATTCCATTAAAGTGTAAAATATTAAACCTCACTTTAATATATATGATAAGAAATGTCAAATAACTTTCTTTCAATATGAATCACCTTTTTGATCAAAAAACAAAATTAATCATCAAATATTTGACGCCCTATGAAATTTATCAAAGAGTAATTTATGAAAGTGTCTATAATACTGAGATTGAGTAAACTATAGAAGTGATTCTTAGGATTTGTTGCATATATATATATATATATATATAGCTCAAAGGATTAAAAATACACATAATTTTAGAAAATCGTGTTATGTTTAAAGTTAGGATTAAAAATTTGAAGAATATTACAGTTAAAAATAAAGTATTATTTGATTTGATTTAATTTAATTTATGCTTTAATAAATCAAGGGAATTAGTAGGTGGACACCCCCTTGTGCCATGCATCCTGCATACACATAATAAAACTCTTATCTATATATTTTACAATAAGTTTACAATAAAATAATTTTGTAAATAAAATTAATAAAACTTTAAAAGTGGATGAAAGAATTATATGAAATTTACTATATAAAAAATCAAATTTAATCTAAAGTAAAAACAATTGATATCAACCATTGCACATCAATATTGTTTTTGTAAATTTATCCTAAGACTTTTCAATGTAAATAAGAGTTTTACTATTGCATTGGGAGTGTCCATTTACTAAAAGAAGGTGTCTACCTAATTTTTTAAAAATAAAATACTGAAAATATTCGTATCAATTAATAAAATATTATAAGTTAAAAAATATGAAAAGAAGTAAATTTTCATGTTAAATATCTAAATATTATTTAATATGATTTTTTTTATAGAAAAATGTCGAAATTTATTAAGTAATTAAACTATATCTTTGATGCTTTAAAAAAATTGACAATAATATAAAATTAAATAATTTTCTATTTATAACATACTATAGTATTTTATATATTAAAAATCATACAATCCAAAGGTGATATTATGTTGACATTTTTAACCTGACATCTTCAAAAATACTCGGTCAGGATAAATTAACAAAAACAGGAGACATGAGAGGTTTGGCAGGTTCCATTAAAAATTATGTTAATTTTTTTATTGAAAAAATTAAATTAAACACACATATATACTAAACATATTGATATATTAATATATCTATTGCAACAAAATATATATATATATATATATATATATATATATATATACTATCCTTATATTTATGTACCATAAATTTCTCTTTCTGAAATAATACCATAATCCAAAATTTAAATCTATGTCTTTATTATTTATGGCTCAATGAATAAAACTTAGTCTTGAAGTCTTTCAAAGATTAAAATTATATTTACAATAATTGTGATTAAAATTTGGATGCCAAATCCTCCTTTCTATTTGCATAATAAATTTGATATATATATATATATATATATATATAAATTTGGATTTAATACAAAGAGACAAAGTAGCCGTTTTTATTGACCAAATGAAGGAACAAGGGAACATAGAAACGAGGGAACATGGATGAAAATGAGAATGAATGGACAACAATGCCAGGAATTGTTGTGTTGAATAGCACAAATTTCCACTAGTGTATATATGTATATAACATATTAAACTATGAATATTAATATATATATATATATATATATAATTCAAAACCTTTTTAGATTAATATTTACACAATATTATTATTTATTTATTCAAAGATAGTTGTCAATTTTGATTTTATGTATTTTAATCAGTCTATAACAAAACTCAAAAAACAAAGTTGATCTATTGTATGGATTAATAGCTTCTACTTCATTGACTTTGCAAATCCCACATGAAAGTTCTATATAAGATCAAATTTTCTAAATAAAAAATTAAATAGCAAGAAAAAAATAAACTATATATATATATATATATATAATGTTTTAAAAAATCATAATGTGTATGATGTGTGACATTCTTCTATGCATGCTTTGGCATGGAATAAGATTAGTAGTTATAAGTAATATCTTTAATATATATTGCATTTTTTATTTATTTTAAATCCATTATGATTATATAACTGAATTTTTGTTATTTGTAGTTGCTAATTCTAAAAAGAAGGCTTAGTTTTAAGGTAATAAACTCAATATTTAGTATGTATTTATTGTGGGACTTACAAATAATACAATCTTAAATACATAATTTTTTTTGTTACACTGTATGTAACAAAATCATATGGGAGATTATTGAAAGTGATTATCAGTAATTATATTAGATTGCATACATTTATTGGACTTGTTTTAAGAAAAAAGTTCTGTAATTATTATATTTTAATAAATATGTTTTAAGCAAGTAATACATATATATAGTTATATATGTTTAAAATTTATTTTAAAAGACCTTTGAAGATTATAGAAACCTCAAATAAAATCTCAAGATAAAATTTAATTCTTAAAGAAGATCAATTTATATCACAACGATTTTGTGGCAAAAAAATTAGATATCGAAATTTGATAAGTAAAGACCTCTTAAGTAAATTAAAATGTTAAATATTAAAAATAATCTACAAGAAAAACTAAAAAACTAGAATTTGGTACCCTTAGTTTATGTACATTTTTAGATATATACAAAAGGTAAAAAATTGACTACGGAGATCTTTGTGATTTAAATAAATCTCTAGTACAAACTTTAAATTGTACAATCATTGGTGCTCTATTGTTAATCTAATATGTTTTCAGATCACTTCAAATTATATCTTTCCTGAGAATCTCTAAATGCAGATATTTGAATAACAAAGAATCAAGTTAAAGTTCAAATCCATCACTGATTTAAACTTCGACTTAACACACCTTTGTTTGTTAAATCCTAGAGAATATATAAAGAAATGGTTGAACTTGACTTGAGATAGTGAAAGCTGAATGTATCCACTTTATGTTTTTTATAAATGAAAAGTGATTTAAAAACTCAATTCAATAGCATGCTTTGACAATGAAAAGTATTCACTAAAAACATTTAAAGGTGAATCCTCCTCATCTAATCATCCAATTGTGTTCTTAACATTAGATATCATAACAAATGGCCAACATAAATGTTTAGTGTTGGTATTTCAAGGATTAGTTGATGGATTGGATTCAAAATAGGTAGACAAGGAATTTTGTAAATAAAATCTTGAGCTTTAAAAATTAGTATTGTTAAGTTGCATTTTAGGTATACGACATAACTTGTAATTTGAAAAAAATGAGAAGGATGATAATGCAAATAATAGTAATAGTAATATTAGAGCATAATGATGTTTAATAACCTTTCCTTCAAATTAGCTTCCAAATATCCAACCTTAATACCAGATGTGGGTTGTATGTGAAATCAACCCACTCTTCATTTGCTGGGTTTGCTTAACAGGGTTGTATCTTCATGTTATGTCATGTCATTCAATTATCTCTTTTTCAACTTTCCCCTTTGTAATCACACCATTTCTGATCTTCAATCTTTCTCATTTCTGATGTTAAATTGCATTCTAGGTGTGATTACTTGACCATATATTTATTTTATGATGATTATTATTATTATTATTATATCTAGTGGTAGTGGTAGTGGGGGATGAAATGGGCAACAACATCAGATGTGACAAAGGTAAAGACTAAGGACACCCAAATCACAAGACAACCATGTGGAAATGAATGGGTGAAGGTCACCGCGCCTTTCCTTTCTTTCCCCTTCCTTTCATTATTCAACCGAGGTCGTTGTCCATATACTCTAACCCCTCCTTCAAATCCTTTCTTTCTTCTCTTTTGGGGTACTTCCACTTTTCTATTTTTAGTCATTTTAAAAAATAAAAAGAAACCCATAAAGTTACGTTTCACTTATTCACTATTGCGTCAAGGTGAGGTGGTACAAAGACAAGACATCAAAGGCAATATTTGCATGGATTGAGGAAATGAGGTGCAACAAGGAGATTGTTTGAATAAGACTTCATCGTACCCACTTCAAAAAAAAAAAACAAAAACAAAAAATTAATTAATTAATGAATCAATTACAAAGATTGTCTGTCTATATGAGGT